GTGGACTTGATGCACCTAATCTACCTTCATCAAATATAGACTTTAAAGGTTCTAAAAATAGCTTTGAATTCCCTGATGTTGACTTTGGTAGCCCTTCAGGGAAATTTAAAACACCACATTTGGGATTTTCTGCACCAAAAACAGATCTCCCAAAGGTTGACCTCAATTCACCAGATGTCAGAGCTAAAGTACCAAAAGGCCCAAATTTGAAATTAAATTCAAATCTAAAAACTCCAGATCTGAATCTCAAAGCTCCAAAGATGAAAGGTGGACTTGATGTGACTAAGGTAGACTTACCAAACATGGATCTCAAAGCTCCCAACTTGGAAATGGACACTGCAGATGTTGACATTGGTTTGCCTGAGGCAACTTTAGATGTTACTGGTGCAAAAGGAAAATTTAAAATCCCAAGTTTAAATACACCAGATCTCAGTATCTCTGGACCACAGGCAAAAACACCACATATGAGACTTTCTGGACCTGGCGTTAGTATGTCAGATTTCAATTTACCTGATGCCAATTTTAAGAGTCCCAAGCTCAATACAAAACACCCTGATGTAGGGATTAATGGTAACATAGGACAACCTGGGATGGACTTTAATGGCCCTCAGTTAAGAGGCATAAGAGGTCCAGATGTTGACACAAATATTCCCTTAGGAAACATCCATGGCCCTCATGCTGATCTTAATTTAGACAGAAAATTGAAACAACCCTATTTCAAGCCGCCTCACTTTAGAAGCCCAGATTTACATCAAGCATCTGATATTGACTTTGGTGGAGCTTTGAGACCAACAAATCTTTATATGAATCCTCCAAATGCAAAACTGAATATGAAACAACCCCAGATGAAGGGACATATATCAAGCCCAAGGGTTAGTGCTCCAAACATGAACATGAACATGCCCAAAGTTGCAATGCACCCTCCACAGCAGCATCTGAGATCTCCAGGTCGTAGTATTGATGATCCTTCATTGTATTTTCGAACACCTTCACATAAACATCACACACAAGATATGTCAAATCTGACCATGAAACGTCCTGACCTGGACATAAATGGTGATATCAGACTTTGTAATACTGATAGAAGGTCCCATAGAACCAAAGTAAGATCCAGCTTCCCTGAAATGGATGGCGTTTTTGACCAACATATTGATTTAAATCATTCAGATCTCAATATTGACGACTTTACAGGAAAACATCATGTGCTTAGAGCTAGAGGTTCCAACCTTAATGTCCAGGCTCCACACAGCCATGGACACGCAATCTCCCCATCTGGAGTTAACACTGGCATGAGGGACCCCAGAAGAATCCCATCTGGCCATATCAGACACAATACACGTTTGCCACAATTTTCTCCAGATTCCAGAATGAGAGCATCTAACACTTCAGATGGATACTATGTGACTGTTTTTCCCAATCAAGCACGAAATCAAAAGATGCCAAATCGTAAATATAACACACTTGGAGGGCTTGACTTTCATCCAGGAAACTTGGACCTTGAAGTTCCCAATGAACATGACCTAAGAGGGTCAACGTTCTTTTTCTCCAACCTTGTATAGCTTGGACTTGTGTTTCCATTTTTAGTGTGCTTTTTGTACTGTAGTTATATGTTTTATGTGTGTGTGTGTGTATATATATATATATATATATATGTTGTTATATATATTGTGGCTTTGCAATGATGTTACCTAGATTACAGTGCAGTATTATTGCACTTATTTTATTAAATGTAGTAGAACTGCTTTTTGTATCATAAATGTTTTTATATTTTTTAACAGTTATTATTTACATTTTCTCTAACTATTATATTAAAGGAATAAAGGAAATATGTGGACTTGTGGGGTCCTATAGGGTACTTTTACAAGATTAAATGAATACATTTTCTTTAGATACTATATTTTTAAATACTATCAGTTGAATTGTACAGTATTAAAAAGTTGTGTATATATATTATCATTCTGGTTCTTGTGGATGTTCATTGTGTCTATTATACATGTGTATATACTGGAGTTTATTAAAAACAATTCTTATTTCAACCAAATTTTTGCTTCCAATATTTTAGAGTAATTATGGAACTAAGATCATTCTTTCATATTAAAGAATTCATGTTGTTACAATACTGTACAAAACAAGAATGGTGAACAGTATCTTAAAATCATCCTTAGTGACAAAAGGTCTTACAGAGTGAATTAGTTCAAACCAATGATCAGGTAGAGGAGTACAGGAGTCTGGTGAGGAAATTTGTCACATGGAGTCACACAAACCACCTGCAACTCAACACCTCAAAGACCAAGGAACTGGTTATGGGCTTCGGGAGGTCCAGACCAGGTCCACCCAGTTCAGATAGAGGG